GTACTCTTTCCTGCCATGGCAGGGGGTCGGACTAGATGATCTTCTCAGGTCCCTTCCGACCCTAGAAACTATGAAACTATGTCCAGTAGGTATGATAGAAAGTGCTACTTCCATTAATACCTCATAGTTCTTGGCTTTGGAGAGTTTTAGTTGTAATTCATTTCTTTCTTCCACAAATCAAGCTAGTTTTCTAGATTCTGGTCAGGAAGTTAAGCTCTAGTATCTGGTTGCAATGAAATGGAAGGATTTTCCAAAGTACATAAGACCCATTTCAAAAGTGATGCAGGCGTATAGGAGCTTTAGCTGCATTTCCTTTTAATGAGACTTAAGTACCTAAGTTATTTGAGCAGTTTTCAAAATGTTGTCCATGGTGTTGAACATCAACATATTGACGACAGTGTAAATTAAATGATTTGTTTTTAGATTACTTCATATACAAATCAGACAGGAAAAGTCACGCAATACACAGAAACTTCCTTGTGAGGATGTGGCATAACAGTTGTCAAAAATTATACTGAAGACATTTTGAGAAGAAGCAAACCTCTTGAGCCTGTTTATCTTCCCATCCTAACACTTTCCACAGCTGATCAGTTTGTTTCAGAAGCTGCTAACAAACATAATTTCATTTTCTTGAAGACTTAATTGCTGTCCTTAGCTAAAAAGTGATTATCACTCCTCAGTGCCAGTAGATGCTCAATATGGATGTCATCATGATAGACATGTACTCTTCCAGAAGAAACTCTCTTTTGGGAGTGATTTAACTGTGGTTGTTCCAAAGTTTGGCAGTGGGATGAGGGTTGCTTCTTTTTTACTCTGAGAGGAAAAGCCTGAACATCTATAAACTTGTGTTTTTTTCCTGGGAGAGCAACGACTCTCCCAGGAGAAACTGAAAGTCTTTACAAGGCCTAAGCTAATAGGTTGTTAGTGCTTATTATTTGACTTGGATTTAAAGTTGTGTGGATGTTAATACAGATCATAGCAATTTTTTTCTGTATCCGACACACATCCATCTATCCAATATCATATATCTGGCGCTGGTCAGCCTAGCTGTTTAAAGAGAGATGTGAATGGGAGGACTGGAAAACCTGTAACAGATGAATTATTAAATAATCAACCAAGAAGGGAAATTTTTCTAATACCATTTAGTTATGATTTGGCTTTTGTGTAGAAGTAGGAAATGGAAGACAGCAAATATTAATCTAGAAACTAGGAATACTGCATTTTGCTTCATACCACATAAGACATGCACCTTGTTTTGGGAAGGCAGACTGAAGAAGAAAAAGATTTTTCCAAAGTTATGGCCAAAAGCTGACCGCATGGAATGGCTCACTTTCCCTCAGCCAACTCACTGGCTGCTCAGCCAAAAACTACTTCCAATTTGACAATGGCTGTCAGAGGGTTAAAACTCTTGCTCTTTGGCTGAAGAGTCCACACCTGCTGAATGCTGGCTAGAGAAAAGGGAAAGGACAGCGCCCATCAGCCATTCTGGCATCCCTATGCTTTCATTCGTGTGCAAAAATCAGCTTCCCTTAAGGCATAAACCCCAATTTTACAGGGGCAGTTCTTGCAGAAAGGGTGCATGTGGTATGTGATTAAATATGATATTCCAAATGTTATATATGTATACATGGATGTATGTATATGTATACATATATGTATGTATATATGTATATGTAATGTTAAAATTTACTAACAACATGTTTTGTTTACAGTTTCCAAAGGCCTTTATTAGTCCTTGTTGACAGAAATATAGATTTAGCAACTCCACTTCACCATACTTGGACATACCAAGCCTTAGTGCATGATGTACTGGTAAGGCAATAATTTTTTTATTACTGAAATTATAATTACACAATTATATTTGTAATTTGTCATTTAACTTGATACCAATTTCAGTTCGTAATCAAAATCTACTGTGTATTAAATGTAATTGTATGTGTCTGGACATATGTATATTTGGAGCCCTTCCTACAGAGAAAAGTTGGAAAAGAGCTGTTATGGTCTAATTGTTATGGGTAAATGAACTGAGAATGATTCAGATAAGCAAAACTCTTCAGGTTTAACAGTACTTTGTCCTGAGTTGATGTTCCAGGGGCTCTTTTAAATTTCAATCATTCTCAGTTTGTTCACACACAGTGATAAAAACATAACATCTGCTGTCCTTTTAAAAATTCCCTTTTTGTAAGGGCTCCAAATGTGTGTGTCCGCACCCTAGGTTATTTCACTAAAAAACATTTTGGAGGACTTGAGAATTTTGGCATGACAGTATTTTTAAATTATCTATACATGAAATGTTGGTGTAGTTAAGACATTGGTAATTTAGTAATGCACATTTTTTTTCAGTAGCTCCTAATCCTACTTATAAACTGTAGGACACATACAATGTAAGTTTCACTAGGCTCTATTCCAGTCAAGTTTTCTTTGTGGCTTCGCCTATACATGTGCTTTACTGCAGAGTAGACTAGCTGTGGAGTAAAGCATCACCGTCTACGTATGCAGCAGTCTTAAGCTGCAGTAAACTGGTTTACACTGCAGTAAGATAGTACTGTCAGGGATAGTACTATCTTACGCCAGGGTAATTTACTGCAGTTAAACACACATGTAGACACTGGGTGTAAATTGCTCTCAATCAGCCCAACTAGCACTGAGCCAGACTCCTGCCTGCCGCCTAACCACACAGCTACACATTTTCAGCATCCTCATGCCCTAGCCAGCGCTTCTATCACCCGATACCACTACCAGGAGTCTGTGCCTGACCTCTCATGCCCCCTGCCACCCCAGGCCTGCTGTGCCCCATGTCTAATTGCTGTTGTCTTGGGAGCATTTGTAGATGTTGCATCCAGGAGTAGTTTACTTTGGCTCAAACTGTTCCAAAGTTTATTGCTTCGCATTAATTGCACATGTAGACACACCCTGTCAGTATGAAAATGTTTAGCTTAAATCAGATAAGTCTAAAGTGGGCAGGAGGAAGGTTTCACAGTTCAGCTGCACCCTCTTTAACCTTCTAACATAGTTGTTTTTTTCTAAATCTTGTTTCTTTTCCTTCTCGCCTTCCTCTGTGAAAATACATGCTTACGACAGGACACTGTTATATAGGACAGGGGTTGCCAACCTATGTCCCACAGAGTCATTTTATCTGGCCCACAGAGCCAAGGGTCTTCTGCAATGGGGAGAAGAAAACAGTACTGTGAGGGGGAGCAGTGATTGTGGCAGGGGTGGTAGTAGCCTGCATTTCAAGCAAAGTTCTGTTGAGGCGATGCTCTGCTCCAAAATGTTGCTGACCTCTTTGCTTGTTTGGATGTTTGTGAAATATGAATATTATAATGATTTTATTCTGTGGATTCTAAAAAACAATTCTGTACTGTTTTCATAGCTTTTAAAACAACTCTTGGTATCAGATTGATATTTTAAATATTTTATTACTTTACCATTCTTTTCCACAAGATGGTGTAGATGTTCCATACATAGAAACACCAAATGGTAAATGAACTTCCTGAGAGAACATGCATTTTATTGTTAGAATCAGGTGGGGCGTACAAAATTTACTATCGACTTTCATAAAAGGGCTGGAAGGGACTATGTGAGATCTAATACTCTAGCCTCCCACTCAAAGAAGCATCATACCTAATTAAGCCATCCCAACTAAGTGTCTGTATACCCTTCTGTCAAAAATTTCCAGTGATTGAGATTCCATAACTTCTCTAGTTAGTCTGTTCCAATACAACATCTCTAGATAGCCTGCTCCAATGCTTAATCATCCTCATACTGAGAAAGTTCTTCCTAATCTCCAATAGAAATCTTGTGTAATGAAGCTTGAGACTTTTACTTCTATGGCCATAGAGATGAACCCATCTCCATTCTAATATTATAGAAGTCTAAGTCTGTCTGTAATGCTTTATTCACACTCTGATTGGCTGACGGAAACAGCCAATAAGAGTGCTCCAAGCATGGGGGAGCGCTGCCATAATTCTGAAGCCACACCGTGGACTAGACAGACTCCCCCACCCCACTTCCTGCAACAGGCAGAACAGTGGCAGCATGGAGTGTTAGCTTGCAGCACTCCATCCCAGCTGCCTCTGCCCCCTGTCATTCTTGACGGACAATTGGCTAGTCTCTTTATAATTTCCCTTTAGATATTTGATGACTGTTATCAAATCCTCTTTCAGTCTTCTCTTCTCCAGACTAAATAACCCTCGCTTTTCCAGCATGTCCTCATAAGTGAGCTGCCCTGCACATGGATTTAAACTTGCTAGGGTGTGTGGAGCTCAGGATCATGTTCCTAGGCTCTATGCATGCTTCAGTAAGCACAGCATTAGGAACTGGTTCTAAGTGTGTACCTTCCTGAGCAGGCAGTCACACAATTGGGATCTGATAAATTTTTACCCCCGATACCAGAAACGTCATGTCCTGCCATGCTTGTGGCATGGCTGGAAGTGAGATTGTTAGGATCAGGGATCAGATCCCATTGCACCATTAAATTAAAGTCTGCCAGTGGCCTAACAGTTCTTCATTATTTTATTGTTGAGATTAATATGAACTCTGTAGTTTATAATAATAGCAATATACCTGTCTATAAGATTAGCTTTTTTGAATAGCATAGTGGCACATATGGCATCATCTAAAAATGATGTGCCGTGCTTGTGAAGATTTTAATCTCTCAGCATAGTCTTGGGTTTTCTAGAATTCTGTTCTGTAGAGTACATTGTATGTGTGCTATAGGTACACATTGCAGGTAATAGCAGCTGCCTTTTTGAGGCTGAAGACCTGTTCAAAATATCATCTATTTTAGAATGTGCATGATGTGACTTGAAGTTCAATCTCAACATCATCTTTAATATAGTTTGCATGTTTTATGAGCCTATGTCCATTGGAAATGTAGCTAAGTGATCTACCTTACATATCAAGGGGAGTAATTCAGTTTCAAAACTATGTACGTTATTTGGTTTTAAAAAAAGAAGCATACCACATTTTCTGCAGATTGAGCACAGTATTTTATTAAATAATTGAAACACCATTTTTAAATGGCCCTAAATTGTAATGGGGAAATCGTTACTACAGTAGCAATTACAGAAATTGTATTTTCACTGGGGGTGCACCAATAAAGATTTTGGGGGCCGATATCAATGGCTGATTATTAATGAACAATATTGGCCAATACCAATCCGATTACTGATAGGGCAGGCTGATGCTGTGGGCTGGAGCCGGGGCCTGCGTCATGCTCTTCCCAGCAGATGGGCTGGGGCAGGCAGTGGGGGTGCTGGGAGGGGGGGCTACAGCCACCCCAGAAGTTGCTATAGACCCCCTTCCTTGTGCCGCCACCGCTGCCCGCCCTGAGTGCAGCCCCAGTTTAGTCCCTCCACCAGAACCCAGTGTAGCCCCCGGCCCCAGCCTGCAGTGGCAGCCCACCCTCATCCTGCGCACAGATTCAGGGGGATACGCCTCCTGTGCCTGCCCTGGGGGTGCCCACGGCAGCAGGAGCCACTCCCCTCCTCCCCCCCTGCACCTACCAGACCTGTCGCTCGCAGCTCCATCCCATGTCCCACCCCAGCTGGGCAGTGCCTGCCCCTGCCCTAGTTCCACTTCTTCCCTCACCGTCGGGGTCTCAATCTGCCCCCCACACTCCTTTCCTCCTCCGCCCCTTCACCCCAACAGATTTACCAGCCGGACGCTGCTCTCCAAGCTGCTGGGCTGGCTGCATCATTGTTGCTGCTGCACATATACACGCAGCATTTATCAGCAGCATTGGCCACATCAGCCAAAAAAAGCCGATTGCTGATAATGTCAAATTTCCTTTTATCAGAGCCGATACGATATGTATCATTGCACCTCTGATTTTTACGTAATGAATTTTCATGTAGCTCTCAGCTACAGGAGCACAGGGAATTTGTGTGGTTTTGGACTAAATGTCAGTCTAATCATAAATCCATATGCTGTATCTGTTATGATGATTATTTTTTTTGTGTAACAACTGCACTAAATGGTCCAAAGGGTCTCGTATTTTAATAAAAATATCTTCCAGTGGTTGAGGGGGAGGACATAGGCAACGTCTCAAAAACAGAAGCAGTATGTGAATTTTTCTCTAATTAAGTCATCTTCCTGGGCCTTTTAACTCTTTTTTTTCACCAAAATAATTTCTATCTGTATTGAAACCTTGAATACAGGCCTTGTAAGGAGATGGAGAGTTATTATAAAAGCTGACTTCTTTAGTTAAGTAGTTGTTTGATTTTTTTTTTCAAGTTATTTTATTTCTTACATGGATTATATGTTGCATTTCACTTGAGACACAGGAATAGAAAGTGTCTCATGAAGGTAGCCCTCGCATCAACAGTATTTGTAGTCATCAGTATTAGTCCTTACAAGTCAAAGTAAATACACAAGGATGAATTTGGATGGTCTACACTTCCATCCATTTTTTTGGATCTCTTTCTGCCTGTGATAAAACTAGCATGCTTTGTTAATGGGGGCCCTGGCTCTCCAATCTGAGGGCTGCTTTGTAAGAAAGAGATCTTCTCGTAGCCATTCTCCAATTTCAATGGATGAGTTTATGTGCTAAATTCTCAACTATTTCATGTTACCAGGAAAGAATCTCCAAATCACTTTGTATACAGACAGCAGCTTGAAAACCAGTTCATTAAAAAATGGGGGCTAATCATAGTTTCATAGTTTCATAGATTTAGGGTCGGAAGGGACCTAGTAGATCTTCTAGCCCGACCCCCCGCCAGGGCGGGAGAACAACAAAACCCCAAAACAAAAACGGGACTCAAATGAGTCCAGCCAGGTAGGCATCCAGCCTCTTCTTAAAGACCCCCAGG